TTTTTAACTGCCTCATCCACGTTTACTACTACAATGTCCACCTGCCCATCTATAAACAGAGAATGTCAAAAGAATACAAATTCATTGTGCTGATAACACTGCAGACAGTCATGTGCTCATAATCCGAAGTTCACAGACTAAAATACTGGGAGGACTGGTGAAAGCATTCTTGGGGGAAGCTCACTTACTTTGCATTTATTTTCAACATAAAGTTAAAGAGCATTCTAGCCTGGATCTAAATGGAAGAAAGTTTCTTCATTCATCAAGCAAACATTTACTGAGTGTCTTATTATGTGCTAAGCACGTAATAAATACTTCATAGAGTGTTAATAAAAAGCAGTAAATACATTCGACCTACATGATGTGTGATATATTAAAAGACTGAATGCAAAAAATGACTGATTCTATCTAGAAAATTTAGTCTATTGGGTATACAAAAGTCCTCTTCAGATGTAGGTTGTGGAGGAAAATATGATACAAAATAATAACCCATCACTCCCTCAAGGTGATTTCCAACCTTTAGCACAAATTACAAATTTATTACCACTAACATGGACTCAATAATCAGTATTTCATCCTACTAAATGGATCTTAAAAAAAAAAGGGGGGGTTAATCTCTAATCCCACCCCAAAGTGCAGAACATTTACTTGATCTCCACTTGCTTTTTTTGGGTAATGTGAAGGGAAGTGTGTACTGGAAACTTAAAGAGGCATTCTCAACTCTTTGAAGAAATAATCAGGGAAAATTTCTCATTCCTGTGCTATTAAAATATTTCCAATTTAACTGGCTATTTAACCCAAAGCCCTAAAGTCCAAATGCTTGGTCTTCAGCCTTCCTTAGTTATTAAAACAGTTGGGTTTAGGGCATCTTTTTGAACAATTTGCTGTTTCCCCTGTATTTTGCCATTCGTTCAGCTCTTTCACCCGCAGAAATAAGAAATGCCCAAAGTCTCCAGTTTCTGAAAATAACATCTGGTATGTGCACATAACAAAAAGCTTGAGAGAATGTCCTAGTTTTTATTTAAAACTTTTTCATTTAAAACAAGAATGCCTTTAGCAAAGATTGCACACATAAATCAGCTTTTACCTTATTAGGAGATTGTTATTTTCAACATTTACCTTAAACCACAACATGGATTTCTCTTCTAACCAGTTAGCTTCCTGTCTTTCCCCTATTAGATTAGACTAACTTTTTTTTAAAGCAAAGGACTACTGGACCCCATGATCTGATTCCCAGCTAATATATTTCAAAAAACTCTGTAAGTCTCCACAAAGACATAAATGTTGCTAACCTTAAAGCCTTGAGGATTCCTCTAACACTTTAAAGCTATTTTGATAGGAGCAGGTGTCCCTGTTACTACAATTGTATACCAGTGGGTTCTCAAAGTGTAGTCTTGGACCCCTGAGAGTTTCCAAGACCCTTTCAGGAGGTATGTAAGGTTAAACTATCCTCATAAATAATATGTTACTTTTATTTACCCTCATTCTCTCACAAGCATGAAGTGGAATTTTCCAGAGGCTACATGATGTGTGATATATTAAAAGACTGAATGCAAAAGCAGATATGAAAATCCAGCTGTTTTTTATTAAGCTAGACAACAGAGTTGCAAAAATATAAAATGCCACTTTCCTCACAAATTTTGTATTGAAAAGATAGTTATTTTATATAAACTATTATGTATGCTAACTGGCAACGGACTATTGTTATTTGTAAGTGATTTAATAAACACGTATTTAAATTTTTTCTATTTCAATTTCTGGTACAGCAGATTTCAATAGATATGGCCATACAAACAAAGCCTCTTAGGGGTCTCAATAGTTTTTAAGGTGTAAAGGGTCCTGGGGACAAAAGTTGGAGAACCGCTGTAGTACAGAATTACACAACCTAACACACAGTGACTTCCATATATAAGAAGCTCAAGTTAAATCTGAAGTATAATTAAATTACTTCTTATACCCCCCTAATCTTGTTGAGTAATATATCTCCTTGTAAAGCATAATTCAGCATAAAGCCAATCTGTCCTGGGCCCTATTTAAGGGGCTTTAGATATTTAAGTATTCAGAGTCCTCTTTATAAAGATGTTCTGACCTGTAATACCTCCTATTACTTGAAGAGTGTATAGGAGTTTCTCAATGTTAATGTTTTCCCCCAAAATTACTTGTTTCATCCTATCAGCAAACTATGAAACAAATGTGAAGTATTACCCTTTTTTACGGATGACATAATGAAACTCATCCTTAAAGGAAACAGAACTGCTTGTCCAAGGATGTACTGTGAGCTAGTAGAGCCTAGGATGTTGGTCTTTTGCAATTTGCTTGGTTGCCTTAGGCTGTTTCGCTATGGTGTAATTGCAAAGAAAACAGGGCAAGGGCATTACTTTTATTGTCCCAGTGCCAAAACAGGGATTTTTTTGCTCCTTAATAAGAACGTAATCAGACTCAATATTGGGTCACAGCATTATTCAACACATTGGCTACCCTTTTGGTTCCATACGAGTGGGGGGGGGGGGGGAAGGAAAAGGAAGTAAAGAAGGAAGAAAGGAAGGAAAGGAGAAAGGAAGGGAAGAAGGGAGGAAGGGGGGGGGGGGGAGGAAGGGAGGGAGAGGGAAATTTTCAAGAGTGTTGGGAGAATAAATACCAGAATACATAAAGCTCCAAGATGATGACTTCGTTATGGACTCACAGATTTATTAATCATTTAATCACTGAAACAACAGGCAGGCAAGAACAAGATCAAGCTCAATACAATAACACTAGATTATATCAATGAACAGATGCCAACAGGTTAAAACGGGAGGCACACATGAAGAGGACTCAAATCACAGAATATTGACAGAAGAAAAAACCCACATAAAGTTGTGAAACTAGCTTTATTGGTTCTACCAATCCAAGTGCATGACTAGAACCACCCTGGCAAAGCAGTGTCAGAGACAAAGTTTGTTGCAAGATGCAAAGATGCCATCCTACCTCCTGGACAGAAATCATCCCTTCCTTAGGGCTAGGCATACTAGTTTGTTCTTGTTATCAGCACAAGTCTTAGTTATGCTCCATTTTAACTTAAGTTCTTAAAGAGATGTTCAATTTTCTGCATCTCTTTTCTGCAGTCAAGTGTACTCCCTGACTGACAAAAGCAACACTGACAAGGGTTACCCGCCACTTGCGTAAACTCTATTCCTTTTTTAGATACATGTGCCCAGTGAGTCCATTTTAAAATTTGATGTGATTTTACCAGGAAAAAACAAACACAAAACAGAAGTGTGCTCTAACCATCTGCTTTGTATCCTTATAGTTTACTACAGATAAGTAGGTGTAATTTCATCATTCTTCATGAGGACTGCATTTTCTAGTGTTTACTTTGGTCATTTTTCTTTCAAATCTCTTTTGGGAAAAAAGTTAGAAGTTTCAGTTATAGCAATACAGCTATAGCTACAATTATAACTAATACACCACCAATTTGTAAAGCAGTTTGATACACCTTATTTGTTGTTCCATACTCAACATTTACTGTGAAAGATACATTCGCAGGTAAGAACTAATTTACACAAGTTTCTGCACCCTCATAAAAGATTAGCAATACTGCACTGTAAAACGAATTAACCGGTGAATTTTTAAAGGCTTCATGCAGAAAAAAATGATGACTTTACAAAGGCAAGTAAAGCATCAAACCTCACAGCAAGCTCCAGGAAACCACAGTTATTTCTATTCCTTATCCTAGAGTACGTTTTTCTTTGCGGCGTTACCTAAGTTTTTCTCCAAGGACATAATCACCATTTAAGAAGTAACCTGTCAAAAGTGTTAAGGCATTCTCTATCTTCCCGGCTCTGGTCCACAAGAAATGTCACACAGCTAAATCGTACCACTGCTGTTTCCCTATATTTCTTCAAATGAGTTTAAGATTTTTGAAGTACAACGTTCAAATTTTGCACTACAATCCAAACTACCATTGATCATCGCAAAGCTAATAAACAAAGACTCTCGCGGCAGCATCAGGGCCCTACCAGGAAGTAATCAAAGCAGTGTGACCGGTGCGATCCTAAGTCGCTAGAGCAGACAATAAGAGGGCACTGGGGCTTCCAAGGGGCCCGGCAGAAGGAGTTCACTTGCTTAAGCAACGCAAAAGCGGTATATAAACCTTATAACTGTTCTACAGCACATGAACTCGGGAATCCGAACGCAATTTCAGACAACACAAAACATCTGAAAGGCAATCGAGTCGCCTCTCCGAAGCAGCTGCTGGAACAGCCTCCCGAGCTTTCTTAGCTTGTAGCTTGTTTTCAAACTTCACCCTCCCTGGCTGATGAAAGACTCCGACCTCGGCCGCCCGAGTTCCGAGCACTGCTTCGGGCTCGGGGCTCCCGCCCGGCGTGGATCGGATTGCCTGAGCCTGCGGGCAAGCGAAAGGAAACGGGGCCGAAGCAGGCGGCGAAGGAGCCCCAGCGCGCCCCGCAGCCCAGACAAAGATGCGCCGGGAGAGCGGCGTTTTTCCCGTCCCGCTGAGGACGGGACGCAACTCGCCCCCCCCCCGACACACACACACACACACACACACA